TCATAATCATTGTCTCTATAGTCATGTCACGGTACTTTTTAACTTAGTATCAAGACTTTTTTAACTACAACAAATGCTATTACAGCAACAATAAACACAGTGTCAAATTGAAAAAAAAAACAATTTTCTTATAGGGACTCAATTGAAATTTCCTTACGTAGTGGGGTCAAATTATAAACTCGCTTGGACTATTTAACCATATTTATATAATAAGATACAGCATGCATGCACTTCGTAAGAATTATTGATATTGCATATGAATTATGAGGTGCACTAAGATGGTGTTGTTTGGTGCAAGGGCAGGGCTACTAAAACTTGAGGGTGACATACAGACTTGTGGATATGAGGATGTACAAGTGATGTGGGAAATGCTACAAAGAACTGAAAATGAAGTTATAGAAGACACAACAACAACAACCTTAAGCTCAAGCAACTTCCTTTCTGGAGGATCTTTGTATGGTCCTCTAACAATAGTGACGCAGCTTCATCACAATCAGCAAATCACTCTTTAAACTATACACTTTTTTCATGCTTAACCAATAAAACCACAGTGTAAAGGTATGCATAATGGTTGAAATATGTTATTGTATTAGTTTCATGTGGTCTAGTATTGAAATAGAATAGAGTAATCATTGTTATATATTGGACTCAAGTCCCTTGTTATAATGTGCATCAGATAGAAACATCAAATAGAAACACTCTATCGACACTTGGGTCCATGGGTGTGCTAAAGCTTGTAATAATTATTCTCTAATAATATCTTAGTCGCTCAACACTCTCGAGGACGTAAGTATAATTAGCCGAACCTCGTTACCAAATTCTCTTGTTTTTTCTCTTCTATTTATTCTATGCACTTTATTTGATTGTTTGTGGCCAATGTTGCGTAACGATCGCTTCCGCTGCACGAACAATTGGTATCAGAGCCAATTGGTAGATGACTCTTAGCTTGAGTGTCAGATTATGGTTAAAGAGGATGAATGCATGTTGGTTGGACAAGGTCTATCAAATGTACTGCGCAAGCATAAAGTAATTGAGTTGAAGGAGAAGGAAACATGATGTGAACATGGCGGAGCCACAATTGTGTTGGATCGAGAACCCTAGAAGTCCATATACTAGATTAAGATAAGATGGAGATATGACCCATGTGCTTAGTGAGGTGCTCACAATATCTCTCTAGGTGTTGTACAATGTGATCTCATTTAAGATGATGACAAGTGAAATATCCTAATGGCATGTCTACAACGTCATACTGAAAGATATTAATTGTTGGCGGATCCACAAAAGCAACATAGGCGCTGATTCATTTTGAGGCAGGGTGTAACACAGACATTGACTTGGATGCAAGGGTAACACACACATTGACAATGACTTGGATGCAAGGTGTAATAGAAGCACGGGTAGAGATGCAAGGTATGACATAAACATCGACTTGGACGCAAAGGTGTGACATAGGTATTAGTTGACATTGACGTAAGATATGTGTTGTGGATAGACAATGATGGTAGCAGTTGAGACTCTCCAAGGAAGCTCCAAGGTTTAGTTTGACCGGGTATTGAAGAAGATGGTTGTTAGTGAACTTTTGTGTAAAGATTCCATATATTGAAATACTTCCTAGCAATAGATGGCTAGGTGGCATGTTCCATTAGATGACGGTATAGGAATCTGCACTATAGTCTATAAGTTTGGAGAGATAGACTCTTGATAACAATGTCAAGATACTCAGAAGATTTATGCTGAAGGGGGACAAACTCTAATGTGAATGAGTTGTTAAAGAGAATTAAGTACTGAACAAGGTAGAGTAAGATATTCGCTAAGGTTGAGAATCTTAAGTAGATTTCCTAAAGAGCGACATATTTATCTATTTCAATTCAAGGTGGAAAGGGTTGGAATGATTGAAATATGTTATCGTATTAATCTCATATTGTCTAATATTGAAATAGATTAGAGTAATGAATGATATATATTGGACTCGACTTCCTTGTTATAATGTGCCTCAAATAGAAACACCTTATGGACACATCCATTGGTGTGTTAGAACTTGTGGCCAACGACTGCACCAAAAACAAGGTTACCACAATTTAAGTCCAACACAAGTTATATTCATAACAAAATCATATGATGAGGTTTCTCACTTACAAACTGAAACCGTACTAAATTAAATGAACCAGAAACACAGTACATTCATATTGCTTTATTTTCAAATAGCTGTTTTTTTCCAATTCTTAAAGAGTTGGCCTTAGCAGAAATATCAATTTTTTCCTTAGTCCATTAGATTGTTGTGATGACTGACGAACAATCTCTCAAAAGCTTAAGCTATTAATCAAGGCACGTGAACGAGTTTTCGTTAACAAGCCCCTCAACAATTCTGGTAGCCATTACACGAGGCCTAATTCAATTTTGAATTCAGTTCAAGAAAACAAGGCAGTTGCCTGCAAATCATCCGATAACATTGTTATTATAATTTAGGTATTATATCATTATATTTGACACATGATTGATACATTTCTCATGTTTATATATCATGTATCTTTCATGTTTAGATACTAGACTAATGGCTTGATAAACAATTTCCTTATTTGATTATCAAGAATCATTATTCAATTGGTGTGAACACTCATATATGTATACTGTATATTCATTCACCACCGTGTAGATTAGTTTAAATCCATACTGTATATTGTTTAAATTTTAACATTCTGAAAAGGAGATTTTTCTCTGATATTGGTTCTATCCACCGAGGAGGATTGAATTACATAGGTGAACACCACTCACTCATGAACAGGAGCACATAATAACATATTAAGCTAGCTGACACCTCCTATTAAATTTATTTTTTGCGTAATTAAATAAAAGGAAAGTAGTATTCTGCAATGTACTAAAGGAACATTACATCATTGAGAGCATTAGTGGGGTGAAACCTATTGCTATAAAATCTAAACAAATCAAAATGAAATGGAAAGTTTTCATGGAAGTGAGTTTGAGCCTTGTAACCTTCCTTGGAAATGGAAAACAATGATGTATACATGGGGCTTTTACAAGTCAGTATTAATTGTTTCCGGAATTGCAAATTGTGTTTGCAAAAATGATCTAATTTTGAATTCCTTGCTATGTTATTATCCTCTGGAATCAATATTATCTTGAATCATGATATTATTGACCTTGACAGCAAAGTCCTTGAGAAAAAGGTAAGCACAAGAGTTAAGGTACTGTTGACACCACAAAACTTAAGGATCCCTGCCCCAGACTTGTTATTCTCAGGAGGAGGAGGAGCATCTGCTGCTGCATCAGCCGGTGTTGGTTCACCACCTGCGGAGGGTATCATTACTGGTACAGGCACAGGCACAGGCACAGGTGATACTATGGGGACCGGTGCAAGTACTGGCACAGGTGATACAACTGGAACCGGTATTGCTACTGGTACTGGCACAGGCACAAGCCCAGGCACTGGGGTGGGCACCGGCACCAGTGATAGAACCGGCATTGGAACTGGCGTGACACTGACCACTGGTGCAGGTGCTGGTGCGAGTGCAGGAGCATTGGAATTTGCAAGGAGAAAAGGTGGCATGATAACTGTGCTCACATGCACCACTGAAATATTATAGGGTTGTGAAACTAGTGATTTGATCAAGTTACAACCTATGCTATCATTTGTAGTATCAAAAGCTGATACAAATGAAACAGCACCATTGCTCATAGCAGTTATATTTACAAAACCTTGAAGGCCATGAGCTTGGTCACTTGTATCAAACAATGTCCTCACAGTAATAGATTTATTTTGAAGGTGCTGCAATTTCTGCACATCAAAGTAGTCAAGGATGACATGAAGGCTAAGAACATTTTTTATTACATCCATTGATTTCCCAGAAACAGGGGCCATGCCAGAGTTATCAACTGCCAAAACGGTTATGGAGTTTCTGTTGTTGATGTCAGCTGCTAGATTGGTTTGGGCGAGGTAGTTACTGAAAGTGGTGTATGTTGGGAACTGTGAGAGGAGTTTTGTTATGTCAAAACAAGTGACAGATGGGAACACAATAATAATAATAAGAAGAGTAAAGGAGAGTAAGATAGTAGAACAAAGTGAGGAGGAGGAGGAGGAGAAAGAGAGGCACATTTTCTTAATTGTTTTGATACATAGACAAAGATGATTGATAAGGGATCAGTCTATGTTATATATTGATTATTATTATTATTATTATGTAATTTGATCAAGTAATAAGTATGATTATGACTAGGTCTGATCTTTTTATTTCCGCCAATTATTAAGGAGTGTTTACTTTTACATGGATGTAAAAGCGGGGGAGGAAATGGTGGAGCTATCTTTAAAATTGCAAGCCTATTTTCAATTTTGACATTGTATACATCCTACCTAGTAAACTAACTCTTGTCTAAAATAATGTCACCTCGTTTCCGGTGTTAAAGATCCACTATTATAATGTATTTTTTAAACTAAAACACACACATATATATATGATAATAATATCAGTGTGCATAAAACCACTAACTATCCTATGAAAACTGAGTCATAACTGTGCTTGTTGGTGTGTTGTCACTCAATAGAAAATGGGTAGCATAATTAAAAATATATATATATATAACAGGCATGATTTGTTAACGACTTAAGAGAGTAAGGTGAAGTTGTAAATGGTTATTATTATTATGTGATTTGATCAAGTAATAAGTATGACTATGACTAGGTCTGGTCTTTTTATTTCCGCCAATTATTAAGAAGTGTTTACTTTTACATGGATGTAAAAGCGGGGGAGGAAATTGTGGAGCTATCTTTAAAATTGCAAGCCTATTTTCAATTTTGACATTGTATACATCCTACCTAGTTTACTAACTCTTGTCTAAAATTATGTCACCTCGTTTCCAGTGTTAAAGATCCACTATTATAATGTATTTTTTAAACTAAAACATATATATATATATATATATGATAATCATCAAACCACTAACTATCCTATGAAAATTGAGTCATAACTGTGCTTGTTGGTGTTTTGTCGCTCAATAGAAAATGGGTAACATAATTAGAAAAAAAAATATATATATATATAGCAGGCATGATTTGTTAACGACTGAGAGAGTAAGGTGAAGTTGTAAATGGTTTGTTTGGGTGATAAAAAATGTGTCTGTAATTTTAGTTATGTTATTAAACTTTATAATGACGGAGGAGGAGATTGAAGGTTGGATAGAGAAAGAAGAAAGAAAGAGTGTGATTCATTCACTCACTCACTCACCCAATTCATCATCGGAAGCCACGACTCTCACTGTGAAGACTCTGAAAGCAGCCATTTCGAAATTAAGGTTCATTGTCTCTTCTCTTTCTCTTTCTTTCACTTTAAATAATGATGATGAGATCACACATAAATCACTTTATTCGTTTATGTGATAATCACAATAACGTCTCTCAACATGCCTTTATTGTTGTCATGCTCATGCTTAGCTATATATCTATCTATCTATATGATTCTTCCCCCATTTAACTTTGTCACTGTTTCAACTTCAAATACTACTCCTCAAGTTCAAACTCAGTGAGTTAATTTGAACAAGTTTTTTATCTTGTTTTTATAGCTGCCGAGTTTTTTGTCCTAACTTATTTATTTGGTTCTGCAGGGCTTCAAAGAATAGCACATCTGCAACAGTTGTCGCGACTACAAAATGTAGCTTTTATCCCTATGTTTCTCTTAATACACTAATAATAAATTCCAATGAAGTTTCTTTCTATTATGCCACTATATTCTGCCTTTAAGTAGTTTCTGATGAAAAAGGCTCTAAACTTCCAAAATTCAGTTAAATAACAATGCCTGGCCCCTCAAGGACAGTTAATATGCATTGTATAGGCAACTTGAACATCCCTTATACTATCCCAAACTTAAGGCTCAAACAATCCTAATCTAAATTTTAGATTGGATAATAAAATCCTAATCCAACCAAGAGGTAAGGTGTACTAGTAGATCCAAACAACTAAACCTGTAATTCCCTTATCTCTTAATTACACTAGATCAAGATGAACAATATGACTGAATTGCTTGAGTTGCATGACACTCAGGCACTGAATTCATGATACATTTGTACATAACTAAATCCCCTGGTTTTAGGGATTGAACTACTTACAATTTACACAAATAAAATTCTAATATATGTAATCATAATCAATCATAATATATAAAATGAATAAGGGTATCTACACACTCCCAGCAATTACACTTGCATTCTGAACTAACATGATATCCATAAACATCTTACCCTCATGCTGCATTATGTCTTCTTTGTAAGCCTTCTTTACTTGACTTGTTTGTCATTGCCCCTTTCCTGTAACCAAGCTTGTGGAAAAACACTTTGGTATAATTTTTGCAGTCTGACTAAAGATACTTATTGTCAGTCTGCTTCAAAATTAGTTGTCTGTGGTAATCTTGAGCAGTCTATTTGAAAAATTACGGACATGAGTGGTGGCAACTAGGACAGAGATACAGAGAGTCGTGCTCTTTGAGCGGCTTACAATAATCTAGAACGTGCTGTTGATTACTTGTATTCTGTACGCCTAAACTACTCATTGTAGATACTAACTCCTTATAACCTCTGCCATGTTTTTTTTATTTAACATTTTTTCCCAGGGAATTCCTGAAGTTGCAGAAGTTGCTATACAATCTCCTGATTTCCCAAGTAGTCAGACAACTGAAACAGGTGGGGGTCACTGCTGAATCTGTTCTCGGGGTACCCAACTCGTCTCCCTTAAATATGTTTCCAAAGGTAAAACTTATGATCCTTATTGGATCACAAATGTTATTATAGCCTATCTCTCATTGTTACTGTTTTATGCTTCTTAATAAGTGGGAACTCTTTCAGTAGGCAATTTATGGTGGTGGTGGTTGGGCTGAAATTGGATCTCTTGACTTCCTTAGAAACAATCCCAGGTAGACTTTCTGCTCCATCAAATGCTCTGTTCTCATTGTTAGAAGACATATATGATCTGCATATTCATGTTTTAAGAAAGTGTTTTAGTATCTTGAACTTGTAGTAATGAAATCTGAGATGTATACCGTTTTTACAAATTGAATCTTCTGGGTCATTTTGTTTTGACAGTTTTTTTATATAGCTAATAGCATTAGCCATATGAATGAGTGAGAAACATAAATTTGGATAATCTGGTAAACTTATTCCCCCCGTTGCTAATATGCTGAAGAAAATAACAAATGAAATCTGGGAAGTAGGTAATAAATTTAATATTTTATTTAATTTTATTTCACATTTTTTTTATGATTGGAGTTGGTCATAAATGTTATGCCTAAGTAATCAGCAGTGCCCGGTCAATTTACTGCAGATCTTTAGTTGTAGACACGTAGAAAATGGTATAACTGCAAACTGGTTGTTATTCTTATCTAGCTTCAAATTACAGTTTGGTTGTATTTAAGAAACTGTTTCCTTGTCTGCCTTTTTAGTTTTGAGCATTGCGTTCATTGGTGCAATCCAATCTCCAAATTCTGAAGGTATTTGTTTCCTCAATCACCTAATACCTGACTTTTGGTCATTTTCAATGTCGAAAGATTTTTTCTATTCCGGCCAGTGCTTCAGGAACTTGGGATGCAGAATCCCAATCTCTTAAGACTAATTCAAGAGCCAGTGCTTCAGGAACTTGGGATGCAGAATCCCAATCTCTTAAGACTAATTCAAGAGCATCATGCGGAGTTTCTTCAGTTGATAAATGAACTTGTTGAGGGTTCTGAATGGTGATTGTATTGCTTGCCATGTATGCTATTTGATAACTTAACCTACCATCTTTTACATTTACAGTCATTACCTAATGACTTGTTAGCTTGATATTCTATCCCGGAACTAATCATAGCATTAACACTGAAGTATTAGTTTATTGTCTTCACTTGATTTTGTTTTTGTATGCTCAATTGCTCAGATTATTTATTTATAAATGTAACTGTCATTTTTGTATTAGGGATATATTTGACGAGCCTGAGCAACACATGCCGAGGCAAATGCAAGGGCATGTTTCGATGCAATTGCAAGGGCATGTTTCGATGCAATTGCAAGGGCATGTGTCGATTTTTCAAGTTTGAATATAAGACATGCTTTTTTCATTTCTCTTCCAATATGTCCTGATTTGATTCTTACTATATGTAGCTTGAGTCATAGAGGCATTTTTGGCACATGACTGTGATGAGCAATTGGCAGCTAACTTTGGATTAACTCACTAACCCAAAGCAGCACGAAGCTGAAACCATCATCATCCATTCAAAACCAACACAACTTATTCATCCAATTATTCAATTTTGTGTTACTCCTCTCCCAAAACAGTTTATAACAATTTAATCATTGCTGTTGTTGATGAGACATATCAGAGACAATAATGTGTAGTATTGTCAAGGTAAAGTAAATATGCATTTCATTTTTCAACTCAATAAGACATTTAATATAAATTTTATTTATATATTTTACTTTCAATTATTTTATATGAGAAGATCTATGTTTTTTAAATTTACTTCACATCTTAACCATCTAAATGGTTTGAATTAGTAGGTATATCTAAACTATCGGATTCCCTAGAATTGATGAAAAAGATATAGAGTAAGTTTAAACTATTAGATTTCTCTAAAAAAACTCACTCTTGAAATAAGTAGATCCTCACCCATTTTATATTATGCAACAACAATAATAATCAAGGTCTCTTGAAATTTTCCTATCAAGTCTATACCAATGTTGAACCTCTACTTATACACATAACAAAATCATATAAAGATTAAATGACAATTTAAATTGAGGAGGGATCCACTTACTCCAAGAGTAAGTGGAAAATGACTTACTCCACATTTTAACCATCCAATCTTGGAAAATCTAATGGTTTAGATGTACTTACCAATTCAAACCATTGGATTTTCCAAGATTGAATGGTTAAGATGTGGAGTAAGTCATTTTCCACTTACTCTTGGAGTAAATGGATCTCTCCCCATTTAAATTTATCATAATAAATCTTGGAAAATCTAATGGTTTAGATGTACTTACCAATTCAAACCATTGGATTTTCCAAGATTGAATGGTTAAGATGTGGAGTAAGTCATTTTCCACTTACTCTTGGAGTAAATGGATCTCTCCCCATTTAAATTTATCATAATAAATCTTGGAAAATCTAATGGTTTAGATGTACTTACCAATTCAAACCATTGGATTTTCCAAGATTGAATGGTTAAGATGTGGAGTAAGTCATTTTCCACTTACTCTTGGAGTAAATGGATCTCTCCCCATTTAAATTTATCATAATATAGTTATTAAAATAAGATTATTAGAGATTATTATGTAGAATCTCAAACACAGATCACTATAACAAGTTTGAAAATGAATAGTTACCGTTAGCCGTACCAAACACACTAACGCAGTAACGCCCAACCCAATATTTTGTACGTTTCCCGAAACTTTTTCAAATTCAAACATCTTATTTGCAATAATATTATTATTTTACAATTAATTTTGACATCTTGATGTAGTGATCTATGTAGTTATTTTAAATCTTAATTAAAAAATGATATAGGTGAATAATAAATAATGGGCTGAGAGTGTAAAATTCTTATTTTAAATAGATTATGTGTATGCATAATTAAAATAAATAAATACGAGGAAAAGAAATTCCAGTGTTGATGATTCAAGTAGATTCAGATTTCGGCTTTAGACCCAGTGACCCACCCACCCACCCTTTTCATTCTCTTTCTTCTCAAAACAATAATTCATTCATTCATATTCTGGTGTTCAAATAGGAAATAGTAGTAGCAAATAGCAGTAGCAATGCCAAGTCTAGTTCTTCAAAACAACCAACATACATTTCCCACAAAAGATACATATTTGTCCACAAAATAAACCAAACAGCACCGCCACCACACTATTGTCTCTTTCTTTGATACCATAACCCTTCAACTTCAACATGAATGTTCCCCAAAAATCCTCACTTTCATACACTTCTCTCTATACCAATCCTCTCAATGAGCTCAGGCACAGTCGTAGCTGCAGTGACTATGCTCCCTTATCCTCCTCCAAACCTGAAACCAAACATGACAACAAGGAAAATGTGGTCTCCAACAACAACAACAACAACAACAACAACAATAATAATAATAATAATAATGGGTCCTCTTCCTCTTCTTCTTTGCCTCCTAAGCAGTTCTCAAAGTCAAAGTCTTTGTCCACTAACAGGAGGAGGATTTTGAAGCCTACCTCCCTTCAGTTATGCATGCAACTAAATGAGCCTCAAAGGAGTTTGGCTTCTAACTTATGGGAACCTCCTTTTGAATCTGACAAATCTACTTCTTTCAATATTTGGGACTTCTCTGACTCTGAGGCTGCTCCTGCTTCTTCCTGGTCCACTTTGCCTAATAAGTCAGTCACTTTTCATTTTTCCATATTTTATCAAGTTAGATTGGTGACACTCTTGTCTTTGGTGCAATTAACTGATAGCTTCCTCAATTTATTTTCTAGTTTAGATTTCATATTAGTATGCTGAATTGTGTGTGTGTGTGTCTATGTATGTTCAGGTCATTGATCTGTAGACCCTTGCCTATAGATATTGGAAGGTGTACATGTGTCATTGTGAAGGAAGCATTGCCACAAGGACTATCTGGTGGCACTTTTTATTCTCTTTACACCTATGTAAGATTTCTGATACTCATGGACTCTAATTCACATATCTTTGTGGAATTTATAAGAGTAGAGTGCTGATGACTATTTCAGTTTAAAAATTATTCACCTTATTTTGTGGTACTATGTCATACCATCCTTTTACACTTGTAACAACAAATAAAATGTTACAAATTTAGTAAGTCTTGTTGGCAAATTGAATTATAAGAAACATTTACCAATATATAGTTTGTAGATGTTTAGAGGATCAACCTTGCACTTGGCTTTCTGTAGTGTACCATACCATGCACTTTACAGGATCTTGATTCACATTGAAATAAGTCACCATAATTTAAAATTGTGTAAGTGGTGTGCTTATATAATTATGTTATTGTGGTAGTGGCGTTCTTTAATTGTTGCTTGTGGCTTTAACTCCATCTTCAATGTTCAACTTGTTTTGATTTTATAAACCTGGCTTGACGGATGTCTTCTATTATAGGAAGGTCAGGGAAGGCAGAATAGGAAACTAGCTGTGGCACACCACAAGCGGCGGAATGGGAGGTCTCAATTCATTGTAGCGCAGAATGTTAAAGGACTAATTTCTAATTCAGATGATAGTTTTCTTGGGACTGTAACAGCTAACATCATGGGCTCAAAGTACCGCATTTGGGATGAGGTTTCTTTTTTTTGCTATCTGTGTGGAAAATGCATCATTTATGTGTTTAGTGGCAAAAAAAAATAATATAATTGTGCTCCTGCTCCTAGTATTAATTTTTGTACTTGGTCTGTTTGCAATCAGGGTTACTGTCATGATTCACATAGGAAACAACCAAAACCACCTCTTGCTGTTGTAACGTAAGCCACTATCTTCATTTTCCTTTATTCCCTTTCTTCAGTACCATTTACAAGATTTGCATTTCAGGTTCATACCTACAATAGCAACATGTACCGGAAGTCACAGAAGCATGAGGGCCTATATACCCAAGCATCAACCTATGTCACTGAAGAACGTGACCCAGGTTACAAAAATTTCCATATCACGGATCATTGGTATCTTAGATTTATTTTGAAGAACATGATCACATTTAATATGTGTGCAAAATCACTTTAAAGTTCCACTTTCCAATTTAATATAAGTTGTTTTTCAGGCACAACATATTAAAGGATTGCCAATGGAGTGGGAGGGAAAATTGGACAAAGTCCATCAACTGTTCTCAAGGGTTCCACTTTACAACAAGGTAGGGGCCTAACTAATTTGGATAAGCTCCATTTTCCGTTTCTCTTTGTCATCTGGATTTGATTAATTTCTGTTGGAGTCCTTCAGATTTCAAAGCAATTTGAGCTTGACTTTAGAGATAATGGAAGAGCAGGACTAAGAATCCAAACATCAATAAAAAATTTCCAGTTGACTTCAGAGGTATGGTGAAAGTGTTTTGATTATGACATTTCTTTTGGTGTTGAATAATGTCATATGTCAAGTATTTAAACTAACACAATGCTTTGTTGCTGCATATATGCATGTTCTATATTTTGTAATCCAGCACATTTTGCAATGAGTGAAGGTCTATGATGTTCTGATTGTTCTATGTGAAGTTCAAACACTTCAAAATAGTGGTTGTGTCTAGCACATTTTGCAATTTTGAGACCTTTATAGATAGAAATGCGACAATAATTAAATAAATATCTGAATATTAATTTATAAAATTAGTATTAGTATTGTTTTGATGTGATTCGTAGGTTGTGGTTAGAGCATTAGTTTAAGTTGTCTTTGATGTGATTTAGGAGAATGGGACGCAGACGAGGCTGCAGCTAGGTAGGGTTGGGAAATACAAGTTTGTGATGGACTACAGGTATGTATGTATCTATCAACTAAAACATTAGAGTTATGGAACTTCATAGTATGTTATCAACTAAAACATTAGAGTTATGGAATCCACTTCACAGTTTTAACCAACTACATTTTTCCTCTGCAGATACCCTTTCACAGGTTATCAGGCCTTTTGCATATGTTTGGCTTCCATTGATGCAAAGCTTTGTTGCACAATCTAATGCCAATTTTTTCTATTATGTAGTTTTATGGATCTTGTTGTTTAGTACATTTTTCTCATAAGAAAATGAATATTTTATAAGCTGTATCTGGTGTTTCAAATTCAGCTAAAAGATTATGAGATACGATGTCATCAAATCATACGGCAGCCAGTACTCCAAAATTTATGTATCAATAGTCACTACTTTATATTCAACCGCTATAAACTTCTTCAAATTCATGACAGTGTAAAATTTTAAACTTTCCAATGATGATTACATAAATGTTGAATGAGTGGTAGTGACAATATATAAAACTTATTTAGTGCCGCTACATTTGATATGGGAGGATCATTTTAGAAAATTTCATAAGCTGGACTAAATTAAAAACAAGTAGAGACCAAAATTTTAATTTAACAAAAAGAGACTCTATACACTTTACATAGATAATAGACTCCATAATTCATACACTTTTAGGAGTACAAGTGTCACTTTCTTTCGTATCCAGGAGGTTGGAGCCATGTGGTAATTTCTAACAAAACCAAATGTACAAAATAAAATAATCTGAAATATAGGTAAATAAATATGAAATGTTATATTCTGGGCACGATTATAGCTGTACCTAACCGCATATTCAACAAAATTAGGTGGGTGAAATATATATGTGTGAGTCTGGCGCATTCAAAGGGGAGTACCATAGTTATTGCACATTA